GGAATAATAGATTCTAAAAAAATCAATAACATTATTTATCATAATAAATTAGGTTTATTATTACTAAAAAAAAATTATATACTATTATACTTAATATTTATGATTAAATTTATAGTATGTTATAATACTGTCAAGGTATGCTCTGAGACGATCAACAGTTGTATAATATTATTCTACCTACGAATAAAAATAAAAGTTAATAAGTATAAAATACATTGAATCTATAGTTACTCAATTGTTCCTTTAAATTATAATTTTTTCTCCGTGTTGAAAAAACTGAGTATTTTCGATGTTGAAAAAGTATGTTGTAATACTTACTTTTTTACGTTTTCGGTGAAGATTTTTACTCTTACGTATGTCACTAAATTTTAATTTTTTATTGAAATAATTATTTCATGTGATTGTGTACTCAATGTTATCAATATGTATAACATTATATGGATTATAATGTACACACGCAGTAGACGACTAAAAACAATGATATTCATTGAAATTTAATTTACGCCATGAAAAAATCACACTAAGCGCTTATAACAAGGAGAATACATTCTATCATTATAATCATAAATACTGTGAAATAATGTCCTCTATTTAATTCGATCTTTTATACAAGATCGTTTATGTCGGATGGGGGAGTGTGTTTTTACTTCTCTAACAATTTAGAGGTTAAACGTCATTATTTTATATTTTAACCGCTAGTAAAAACGTACACTATACAATAACTATACACAAATAATACAGAATAATATATTTATTGAAATAAACTGTACAGCTGATAATTTTTACTATAAACATGTTTTGAAAAAAAATAAAATATATTTACAATATACAATTATTTTTTAACCACATACATAATACTTTAATACGATTATTCGTACAACAATCATCATGGTGTTTATGCAATGAACATGTAATCGTTGATACATCGGAATTATCTTGTAAAAGTACATCAATTCTCGGACAGTCATAATCTTCCATATTGATTATCGGTTTGTTTGTAAATCTTTCGAGAAACTTCTTTTTTTGTAAACCTTTAACGTAAAATTGTAAACATCGATTGGCGAAACCGTCCATTATCGTCTGTAGTTTTGAATAATCGACATTGCCGTCAATATGATGTAATTTATGTTTTTTACGATATAACCACGAATTGACTCTAGCTGACTTGGTTGTCATGTAAAAATTATCAGGTGGTTTAAACACGTAATGATGTAAAGTATTAAACGCATAAACTGACAATTCTTTAACAATTAATTGACACCTATAATCTACGATGCATTGAAAATCGACAACTATTGATTCTTCCATCTTGGATCAGCGTCGAAATTATACTAAATCGTTTTTGTGTATCCAACTAGTTTTTTTCAATCCGTACCATTTAACTAGATAGTGATTATTTTTACGTCTTAAAATGTTTTCAACGAGAAACGTACTAGGGAATTTCGTTTTTTTCAACTCTTCTCGATAAAACGTTCCGTTAATTAGCGCACCGTCTTCATCTTTCAACACGTATACAACGGGTATTGAATGTTTTATTTCATGTATGAAAAATATTTCATTTGACCAATTCTGTGTGTATCCTTTAACGAAAGCGGCTTTATTTTTACTAATACGAACCGCGTCACCAATATTAAATAATTTTCGTTTAATGTTCGAATAATTCGGTAAACGATAAAACCGTACGTTATCTGGATATTCCGACGCTTGTGTCGGTGTTTGACGAATCGCCGAATGAATACTATCGTTATAATCATTTACTACTTTTTGTAATAATGATAACCACTGGAAAGACCCCGACGCTGTAAATTTTCGCTACATACGTTCTTTAAGCGTACAGTTGAAACGTTCGATTACGCACGCTTTCACCGCCGAATATGCAGGAAAATGTTTAATACCTTTCAATTTCAGAAAAGTTCTCAGCTCTTTGTTGAAAAATTCTGATCCCCTATCCGTTGTCATGTACAATGGACATCTATTGGAGTTGTTTATTATTGATTCAAAAGCTGCGACAACTACCTTACCGGTTTTGTTTTTTAATGGAACACACCATGCATATTTTGTATATACATCTATTACCGTGAGAATAAAAGTATAATTTTTATTCTTGCTGGAATACTTTTTCATATCGACGAGATCCGCTTGCCACGTGTTGTCTTTACCGTAAGGCGTTACGATACGTCTAGGAAATTTTTTTCTAGCTTGTGCATGTAACTCCTCCGCTATTTGCTCTTTGACGGATTTCATTCTATCACTCCGTTTTCTCTAAGTTCTTCTTCGAGTGATATTATTTCGTTATTTACATCCGTATTACCCGCACGCTTAGATGCGTGTAAGATAGCCAACCGTTCGATTAATTCATTTATATCGTCCCAGTATACGTATTCTTTTCGTTTATTCGTAACGGATAAAAACGGTAGTCCACTACCAAACTTTTCGTTTTCACTAAACAGTGGTTCACGTCCGGTAAATAACTGTTTTATAATATTTTTATATTTATATCCTGGATTAGTTTTCAATTTTCCGTTTTTGTTTCTATGAACTCTAGTGTGGATAAGACAGTTTTTATACGTTAACAGATCATCAGAAGTGATTAAATCGATGTTGGGTATCTTTTTAAATAACAATTCATGTAATCCTTTTGTCAATGACACTTGTTTTAGACTACCGACTTTTATGCTACCCATATGTTCATCAATGATTACTGTTTTATCGCCCATCTTAAATTCACCGTTATCATTAACGGTTACGCCGTAGACTGCATCAAAATTCGATTGTTGTGGTTTTTGATATTGTATCGGAGACGATAGCACAACCGTATTATTTTTATCAACGTTATCGCTATCATCAGAGCTATTTGATTTCTGATGATTAAAAAAATTTTTTGTTTGATGTGCAATTTCTTCAAGAGGTTCAACAATAGGAGACGCATGCTTGCGTATAAACTCTCTAGTATCGTCAACACCGCGTTTGAGTTGTAGTAATTTTTTCCTAATACTTTTTTTAGCTTTTATAATACTCGACGTTATATTTTCCTCAGTCTCCATTTTGTACTAATAAGCAAGTGTTTAAAAATCATTTCTTTTTATATAAATATCAAAGCATTTCCGATACCTTCCCTCGTTTAACGGAAAATCTTTCGCTATCATCAAAAATTCAAATCTCCCACTATTCCAGCATTTGGCACACATTTCTTTAAATTCTATAAAACTCATGTCCGACGAACAGTGATCATCGTATATGTGTTTTAAATTAGTTTCGTCTTGTTTGTATAAAATAATCATATTCGTGTTGTCTCTAATGAGTTGTTTTGGTATACGAGAATACGTCTGCGATAAGTAAAATATATCGACACCATTATGTCGCCCTCTACAAAAATACGATGCAATGTTGTTTTGTTTTTCACATACGACATCATCGAATATAAATATAGAATTAGGAGTTGCGGTTTCCGGTGGTATTACTTGATCGTTGTCCGTGTAAACGTTTATGTTTACCCCTTCAACATCATTGATAATATTTTCTAAAATTTTATACTTGCGCTGATCCGGTGTTTTTGTATAGAGATAAACGTTTTCAAATTTTAAACCGTTTTCTTCCGTCAGCAAATTATACATAACGTTTGTTTTACCGCAATTAGACGGTCCACAAATTATACAACGAATACTATCAGGTAGTAAGGGACCGTGTTTCATTCGTTTTGATTCGGATTTATTCAAATCAATATTAGAAATCGGTAACTTACACGTTTGCACTTCGAAAAACATTACGTATAAAAGATTGACGCAATACTTTCGCCGTTTTAAATGATGGTTCGATGTCGACGATCAAACAATACTAAACGCGGTTACGGTATAGTCAATTCTCTTATAAATAATCTTCCAGTTGAAGTTCATTGGCCAACGTATCAGTACCTAGGACCAGGGACGCGGTTGGAAAAGCGATTGGCTCGTGGTGACCCCGGAAAAAATCCGTTGGATTCGGCAGCTCGCGATCACGATATAGCTTATAGTAAATATAAGGATCTTAAAAATCGACATCAAGCCGATTACGTGTTACAAAACCGTGCTTGGGAACGTGTTAAGGCGAAAGACAGTACGTTTGGAGAAAAATTAGCGGCATACGCTACTACCAATATAATGAAAGCGAAACGCAAACTCGGGATGGGAGTGAATTTCAACTCGATTGTCAGTTCGAGTAAAAGGGCAATGCGTAATATGAAGGGTAAAAGTGAAAAGAAAGCCAGTGTCGTTGCACTCACAGTGGCTAAAAAAACATTCAAAAACTCAGCTCGAAAACCTACTACTCCTCGCACTATAAAAATACCAAAAATCGGTGGAGCGCTGCCCTTGATTCTTATTTTCGCCGGTCTGTCTGCTTTAGCATCATTAGTNTCGCCGGTTTGTCTGCTTTAGGATCATTAGCAGGTGGTGCCGCGAATATAATCAAAGCGGTAAACGAAGTAAGAAAAAATAAAGACGCGAAAACTCCTGTTAAAATCGGTAGCGTTATGCTTTTAAAAAGAGGATCAGCATTGTATTTGAAGCCATTTCAAAAAAACTAATTCATACGCTACCCAGTGATCGTCCGCTAAACAGTGATGATATAATAAAATACGCCAGATCGTTCAAAATATCACATTTTCGTAACGTCTTTTCACGAGACAAGTTACCTAAAACACCACGAACTTTTGAATGTGCCGTAGTGAATTTAGATGATGATACGGGTAGAGGTACACACTGGGTAGCTTATTATAAAAAAAATAAAACTGTATTTTATTTTGATTCGTTTGGCAATTTACCACCACCTTTAGAATTACGCAACTACTTAAAAGGCTGTCGTATTAAATTTAACTATACTCGTGTACAAGAATTTGATACGTTCGTGGGCGGACAATTGTGTATGAAATTTTTACTGGAACAATGCAACGGTCATTAACGTTATCTTTTCAAGGTAACCAATCTAAAATGATCAGTACTTTTTTTCCACCCATAGAACTAGATGGAAGCGCAGAATTGGCACTTTTGAGTTTACAAGCGTGTAATTCTAAACCAAACGTTAGTGAAAAAAATAATTCTTTTCGCGTTCAAATCGATACAGATAAACTCAACACTTCAACGTCAGTTAATTCTTCAGTAATTGATTTAACAATACCAATCGGATCATACGAGCTAGAGGATATAAGTAAATACTTATCGAATGAATTGAGAAAACATAATATTATTTTCACTTTAATGTCCAATGCGAATACATTGAAATCAGAAATGTATTGCGATAAAACAGTGGATTTTACGGCAAACAATAGTATTGGAGAATTATTGGGATTTAATAAACGAATGTTTGAAGGTGGTGTCGTACATGAATCAGAACAAATGGCTAATATCAATCCATTATCATGTATAAGAATAGAGTGTGATATCGTACATGGTGCATTTGTTAACGGACGCGAGACGTGTTCAATTCACGAGTTTTATCCTTTGGTGTCGCCCGGCTATAAGATTGTAGAATCACCTAACAATCTAATTTATTACCCTGTGTTGACTAATCAAGTAGATAACGTAAAAATTGAAATTAAAGATCAGAACGGAGAACTTGTCGATTTCAGAGGTGAGAGTGTAACAGTTCGTGTTCATATCCGTTATGGGAGTACGATATAACGTTAAAAGAAAACGTTTTGACGACATTGACAACAGTTGTGTTTCAAAATTTCCAGTGTTAACAAAGGATAGCTTGAATACTCTCTTAAATCTTGGTTACACGCTTGCAAACCATTATGGAAGACATTCTGAACATACACGAAAAACCATACTTCGAAGAAAGTATAACAAAATTTGAATATCATTCGTATCAACCGTTTTCTAGTAATGCGCTGTCGAATAACGATGAAATACGAATTGCGATACAACATCAAGATTTGTACACTCTACCCAGCGAATCGTTACTACACATCGAAGGCGAAGTAGAAAAAAATATGGAATCGGTGGGTGAAGGTGCGTCATTTGTTAAAATAATTAACAACGGTATTATGTTTCTGTTTGATGAAATTCGTTACGAATTAAATTCGGTCGAAGTCGATAAAATAAGAAATCCTGGTATAACGACATGTATGAAAGGTTATGCGTCTTTTCAAACGGCTAACCTTTACCGATATCAAAACGCCGGATGGAATGAGAGCGGTGAGAGTAAGACAAACTTTGAAGTTTGTATACCCCTTAAATTAATCATGGGGTTTGCAGAAGATCATCGCAAAATTATAATAAATTCTCGTCAAGAACTTATATTGCATAGATCTAGCGTGGATATTAACGCGTTAAAATGTGAGCGAGGCAACAGTAAAATAAAAATCGCGAAAATTATATGGAGAATGCCGCATATAAACGTTGAGGATGGTGTTAGATAATATATATATACCAAAAGATACATCAGCATATTGTCTTATACTACATGATAAGATTTTCGAGTATAACGCTATGACTAGCGAAGTACACAAGGTGGTTTAATTTATGAAATAAAAAATTAATATAAGTATAATATTTTTTTTTAATTTAAAACAATTACTATTGTACATAATTAGTTATAATTTTTAGTTATTTATGTTTTACATTTAATGATTAAATTTAAATTTATTTACAATATTATACATTTTTAATATACTTATAAATTTATTTATTAAACAATTGACTTCTATTCAAATATCCGTTTTTTTTTCTTTTCTCAGGAAGACGCTTTAATTGAGTTGTGTTGTGATTCCACCATAAAAACTATGTTCAGGGAGAAACGATTGAACTTATTTTGGATGAATGCTAAACC